GAGAGAGAATTAAGCTGACTTTGTATGTGGGATGTCTGAGCTGATCCCTGACACCACATGGTGCCTGTCAGCAACACTAGGAGTGACCCCTAAGCACTATACTGAAAGTAGCCTCCAAGCACCTCTAGGTATTACCTTTAAAAAGAAAGAAAAAAAAATAAATAAAAATAAAAGGAAAAAGAAAAAGGAAAAGAAAAGGAAAAAGAAAAGAATTATATATAAAGATCTAATGCAATGTAGTAGAGTGGGTGATACTGTATGCAACACTGAAATGTGTTGAAAATGAAACTCAAATGTTCTCACCACCCTCACCCACCAAAAAAGAATAGAGAAGAGGATGAAAAGGAGAAGGGAGAAGGAGGAGGAAGAGGAAGAGGAGGAGGAGGAGGAGGAGGAGGAGGAGGAGGAGGAGGAGGAGGAGAGAACTACAATTAAGTAGATGGTGACAATTCTTTCACAGTGTATATCAATCTAATCACCATGATGCAAAGTTTGAAAAGTTTACAAATTTTGTGTGTGCATTATACCACAATAATTTTGAAAACAACAACAACAAAATAATGCAGAACTTCACTCCCTAAAATCGTAGTCAGAATGTAGATTTTGGATACCCAGTTTCTTAACAGAGAAGTGACAATTACAGAACATATATGTGACAACTTTCTTTGGTTTTTGGATGGCATTGGGTGCCTATCAGTGGTTACATCTGGCTTGGTGGTTGGAGATTGCCTCTAGCAGTGCTCAAGAGATCATGTGGTACTGGGGATTGAACTTGGGCCTCCAAAGCATGCACTCCAGCCTGTTGAGCTATTTTTCTAGCCCATACTCTGAGGCAGTGAGTAGCTAAATTAAATACTGTTTTCTCCTTCTCTACCCTTTCTTTCTCTATGCATAACATTGGTTCAGAGAGGATGAAATGACATGAAGGGTGACTGAATGTAGAATTGATCACAGGAGGAGCATGGGAGGAGAAAGGAAAAAAATCAAAGATAATCTTAAACTTTTAGTCTGGCACTTGAAAAAAGTGATTTTAAATCAAACTAATGTCATGTAGTCATCAAAAAGTGATGAATTCAACTGATAAATGGAAAATACTGGTTCTGCATAGTTGATATATTCATTTCCAAGGATTGTCACAGCAAATTATATTAACTGACCTAACACAATGAAAATTTATCTTACACAGTTCTGTATCCAGAAATCTGAGACACTAATGGGCCATAGCCCGTGAAGGCACCAGTAGAAGATTCTTCCTTATTTCTTCTGATGTCAAATGGCTCCTGATATTCTACGACCTGTTGTACTACATAACTCCAAGTCTGTGTTGTCAGTGCATGGTCTTTTCCTGTCTCTCTGGCTGTGTGTCTCCTCAGGACATCCATATTGAGGATAGCATCATTTCTAGATCCTTTACATTATTACATCTGCAAAATCTGTGTTGCTAGATAAGGTTATATTCACAAGTAGTGAGGGTTAGGCCTAGAGCCTGTACTTGGGAGGTAGGTTGGCAAATTCAAACCTCCATTCAAACCAGCAAGTTGAGCTGGAAGTGGACCCCAAGCATAATACTAGAAGTAAACTCAGAGCAGAAAACTGAGTGTGGTCCCAGAAAATAAACAACTACAAGAAGAAAACAAAATCATAACACCAGGTTAATATTTCAATAAAAAGTGGAAGTTTCAATATGGACGTTCCTTCAAAAACTGGAAATATGACCCCGCAATACCACTTCTGGTAATATATCCTGAGGGTATAAAAAAGCACAGTAGAAATGACATCTGTATCTATATGTTCATTGCAGCACTGTTCACAATAGAAAGAATCTAGAAATAACTGGAGTGCAGGAGAACAGACAACTGGTTAAAGAAACTTTGGTACATCTACACAATGAAATACTATGTAGCTGTTAGGAGAGATGCACTGTAGCACTGTCCTCCTGTTGTTCATCGATTTGCTCAAGCAGGCACCAGTAACATCTCCATTGTGAGATTTGTTGTTACTGTTTTTGGCATATCAAATATGCCACAGGGAGCTTGCCCGGCTCTGCTGTGCAAGCGGGACACTCTAGGTAGCTAGCTGGGCTCTCCGAGAAGGGTGGAAGAATCGAACCCGGGTCATCCATGTGCAAGGCAAACGCCCACCCGCTGTGCTATCGCTCCAGCCCATAGGAGAGATGAAGTCATGAAAGTTGCTTATAAGTGGATGGAATGGAGAGTATCATGCTAAGTGAAATAAGTCAGAAGAAAGAGACAAACATATAGGACTGCACTCATTTGTAGAATACAAAATGACATAATATGAGACTGACACCCAAGAACAGTAGACACAAGGGCCAGGACGATTGTCCCATAGTTGAAAGCTCATCTCATGAGCTGGGGAGAAGGCAGCTGTAATAAAGAAGGGATTACTAAGACAATGATGGTTGGAGGGATCTTTCAGGATGGGAGTTGTGTGCTGAAAGTAGATTAAAGACCAAACGTGATAATTTCTGGATCTGTATTGCAAACCACAATGTCCAAAAGTAGAGAGAGTATGGGGAAATTGCCTGCCATGGAGGCAGGGGGAGGGTGGGAAAGGGGGGGGTATACTGCAGACACTGGTAGTAGAGAATGAGCACTGGTAGAGGGATGGGTGTTGATCATTGTGTGACTGAAACTCAAGCATGGAAGCTTGTGACTGTATCTCATGGTGATTCAATTAAAAAAAAGTAGGTTTCATCTCACAGAATATAGTAAATATAAGTTAAGAATATGACTTCACATTGCTCTGCATTTAGAAAATGGGTAAAGGAAGTGATGAAAATAGAAGAGAGCTGAGCTACAAGAAGAGGAAAATATGAAGACAAGGAAGATCTATTGTTCCAAATATGGCCCCAATGCTAGGAAAATAAATGCAGATGCCCAAGAAAGTATGAATTCACAGAGCATGTACCCATACATGTGTACACATACAAACATATCAAATATGCCACAGGGAGTATGAATCAAGCATACCATGGCTTGATTATGAGAAATTTTGCAATAAAGAATTTTAAAGTGGTTCTTTAAGCTCTCAAGGGGAAAACAACCGCAAGTCCTACTGAGCAATACATCAAAGAACTAAACAGATGTCCAGATCAAAGAAAAAATGATTAAAAAATTGTATAAAGATTTCCAGTTTGCCAAAGGCAACATATGAGAAAGAAATTACTTAACGCGTGGGTATCAACTCGTCATGGAGTGGAGAGTGAAAAATCCAAAGAAATAGCATTTGGTGAGGTCACTGGAAGCATGGCCTAGTGTATCAAGGCAGAGTTCATTTGAAAGACAATACAGACTTCCTCAGGAGCCACTCACAAAGGACATTTACTAGAAAAGATTGGATAAGCACAGCTGGAACAAAGGTTTGTAAGCAGTGATTAAGATTTATTGCTGCATAAAGGAAAAATCTGACTCTGTTAGCTACTCAAGAGCATAAGAATTTATACTGTTATAAGAGAGTTTCATGAAAACTAAGATTGCAAAACAATCCTAAGAATGATACACTCTTTTACGATTTACTAAGAAGAAAAGTAAAAGAATTCTGGCCAAAAATGAACTCTTAGGGGATCCTGACTAGGCTCCTGCTAGTATCACTCAGTTTCAAAGTCTGTCTCCTGTTTCTGTTCAGGAACACCATAGTCTTCATGATCTTCCCACATCTTTGAATAAGGTTTCTCTAGCTGACCAAGGCTCTCCTGTACATATCTTAAGACAGAATCTGAGAATGTCCTCTCTTATGACTTTTTTTCTATTTTTTTCTATACAGCAGTTTTTCTATAGTTTTTTCTGTTTTTTCTATACAGCAGTTTTTCTATATAGCAGTTACCCTTAAATTGTCAGTCAGTAATTCTATCATTTGCAAATATAGCTATCTTCCTGACTTAAAACATGATATTTAATACCACAAAAGAAGATATTTAATACCAGACAAAAGAAGCTCTTAGGCCTGGTTGGAGGGTGGGTGTGTGAGAGAAAAGGGGTCATCAGGGACCGAACCCAGATCTCATGTATAGAAGGTGCTTCACCACTGAGCCACAAGTCAGGCTGCTAAAAAAAGAAAATAATTTTAGCATTGCTCAGGGGGCCCAGAAGCCACTCCCAGTGATTCTTGCCAGTCAGGACAGTAGTTCAATGCTGAGGATGTGGGGATGCTAAGGCCCTGCAGTGCAGGGACCTCCAGAGCCACCCCAGTAGTGGGTGGGGACCATAAAGGCCACCCATGCTGATGCTCAGGAGGGCCAGTACCAGGGACCGAACCAGGGACAGCTGCCTGCAAGGTATGCACCTTAATACCTATACTATCTACTGGCCTCCAAAACAAGAGACTGTAGGGTGCGCGTGTGTGTGTGCGTGTGCGTGTGTGTGTGTGTGTGTGTGTGTGTGTGTGTGTGGTGCTAGGGGGAGCAGGGGCTGGTACCACACCTGATTATATTCAGGAGCTACTCCCGACTGGCTTAGGAGTGATCCCTAGTGTTGCTCAAGGAACCAAATACGGTTTCAGGAATTCAAATCACGGTTAGCCACATGAAAAGCACGTAAGTCTACTTACATCCTTTACTATCTCCCAGAGCCTAAACGAAAGGAAAATATTAACAGAAATAAGAAAATTTAATAGGTAATTTTCTAAATAAGTACTAAGAGGGGCTGGAGCGATAGTACAGTGGTGTTTGTCTTGAGTGTAGACAACCTAAGTTCAATAACTGGTTCCCCACCCCATCTAGTCCCTTGAGCTCAACAGAAGTGATCCCTGAGTGCAGAGCCAGCAGTAAACCCTGAGTACCATTGGATATAGCCCCCAAACCAAATAACAACAACAACAACAACAATAAAAAGTACTAAGAAAGGTTCACTTAGAGAGTTCTTTGGGGGCCAGAAAGATTGTGCAGGTAGGGCAATTGCCATCCCCCTCTCCTATCTTAAAACATAAAAGAAATTCCCCTGTTTCACCCTAAAAACATAAAATGAAAAAAATGTTCATACCTTATTTGTTTCGTCCACACTCATGGATTTCATTACACAGGGATCTGGTCTCTCCTGGATATGGGCAAGGTCCTGGGGTGCACTCTGAGACCCAGACATTGGAGGTAATGGAGCCCGTCTCTTCTTGGGCACATCCGATGGCAGAGTGTTTGAAACATACGGTTTGGAAATGGTATTTGACCTTGTAAATGCCGGTCGGTGCTTACTTATTAGAGGGGTTGCAGGAGCACTTGCAGTCTAATAAAGAATGGAAAGGTAAAATCTTTATGTAATTTGTAGATTAAAAGACACACACCAAAAAAATGAATGTGAAAACTCAATCTTAGAAGAAGCTATATAAGAAAAACTTACTTGTTCTCGCTTTTTCTTACTGCGTTGAAAAAAGCTGAAGAAACCTTTATTTTCTTTCTCCTTCATAATGTCTAGATTTTGTGGCAATTGGCAGGACTCTAAAATAGAAGATAATACCTTAACTTTTATACATGATGTTGTATGTTCATTTCCAATATTTCCTTCTTTTATTTGCCATTTAAATTATCTAATGATAAAAGTTATTGACTCTGGTCTACTGAGAAAAGCACTCTCCTAGGCAGATTATATCTTATTTAATAGTCAAAATCAATGAGAAAACAAAATTAAATATTCTATTTTCAGCATAGAAAACGAAATCTTAAAGAAATTAATATTGCTATTCAGGGTCAACAATCAGGTAATAGCAGAGCTAGCTAGCTAGCTAGGACTCAAATTTAATTTTTGGTGACCCATTGTCTATGTTCTCTACACAATTATCATAATTTCAAAAGTATAAAAGAATACTTTGTATTGAATGAGATACAAATTTACTACTACTCAGTTTGTTACTTTTTATATTCTAATTTTTCCCAGAGCTTAACTATCACCACCAAATATCTTGTTCTCTATTACATGACTCGTTATAAAACAGTATTTTGCTAAAATATCATAGGCAATGTTTTTTTAATTCAAGGGCTTTAGAAGAGAAAACCAATTATGACACCCCTACCAAAGGCATTTGACACTGTGTGGGGACTGCAGGCCTCTGATGACTGGCATGAGGTAAGGAGAGTGCACAACTGACACTGATGCCACCAAGCATGAGGCAGCACATAAGATGAGCCCCAACTGCAAAGAATTACTCAGACCCAATGTCACTGGTGCCCATACTGAAAAACCACGTCTTGGACCACAGAAAGTATGTCAATTCTTAAGGCTGTATGTGTATTATTTCCTTTTTTAAAAACTACATCCTAGTGTCAACCAACCAGGAGATCCAAACAATGACAAATACAGTAGCTTGTTGTGCCAGCCTCACATGGATTGCCTTTGCTGTACCATCTCCACTGAAAGGAATGGTGGCAACTTAATAATGGTTTGTTGGTATCAATAAATGTACAAGATAAGCCTTTACAATCTCCTCATATCAGAGAGAAGGGTATCAAACTTGACTGGGCTATTTAAAAGGTTATCAAAGTTGACCACACTGGTTTTAAAGGAACTAGAGATAAAGCTCCACATGCTAAACTTAAGTTTTGCATGCAGGAGGCCCATTTCAATCCCCTGCTTCATATGGCACTCTGAGCACTACTGGGAATGACACCCAAGCACCAAGGCAGAAAATAGCACTAAGTGCCACCAGGTGTGATCCTAAAACTCAGAAAAAAGAAAAAAAGGAACTCAGGATCCTGGGTCCAGGAGTGTGGTAACTCAGAGGTGCAGAGTCTGCCTTTCATGTGTGAGGCCATGATTTAGTCCCCAGCACTGTACCAAATACTGAGTGTGATCCAGCACTGCCAACATTATGTCCAGAACCATAACAGGTGTGAACCCCAGCACAATGCAGCCAATTATGTAAGCACCACAACCTAGTGTATGCAATCCCCAAAGCATTGCAGCTGTCACACACCACAACCAAACTGGGCAAAACCCTGAAGCAATGTAATCAAAAGTGTGAGCACTGCAACCAAGAGTATGGTGACCAGGCATTACAGCAACAAAGACAATAACCACAAAAGGGAAAGTAAATAACAACATTACATACATACATGCACACACACAATGGCTCGAGACCTAAAATAGTCTATACTGGCAAAAGACAAAGAAAAGCTAGACATCATAAGAATAATTCAATAAAATAAAACATTTAATTAAATGGATTCATAATGATACCATACCCCCAGTAAACAACTTATGGTTATTTTCACATCTGTGCATAGCTAAGGAGCCAATCCATTGTTTTTAAAATTGATGAAGAAAAAGAAATCCCACTTTCCTTGCATTTTTTTTTAACTTATGTAATGTCTACTTACATCACATAGAAAACAGTTTTCAGAAATAACTAACAATTGGAGGGATGTCTGAAATTGACCATTGTTGAACTCCAAATTAGCTGATATAGGAAATGGTGGTAGATGGTTAATATTAAAATGTGTAATATTCTGCTTACAGAAATACACTGTACCATCGACGAAGTACTCTTGATAAAACTATTTCACCCAAATAGTTTTTATATTTAATCACAATTTTATATTATGAAATATAATATAGGAAATAGGGGACATATAAACATTATGTGAAACCACAGGATGCCACTTAATTATTGTTGGAGTACGAGGAGCTTAGGTTTATCAGGTTGCATCCATCACAGTGCTCCCGAGTCACTCCCATTACTTTGTTTGTCTGTAACCACTTCTATGCTCTCTTCCCCAACCAATTTGTAAGGTCTCATCCTTCTAGGACACTGAACTTGTACTGTAAGTTACTATCGACTTTCTCCTCTCCTTATGTCTTTTTAATAGTTTAATGCAATGTCCTTTTTTTTATAAATACAGGAAGACAATTAATATTATGCTTTGTAACTTAGGACTTAATTGGCTTTGAATATTATTCACTCCCAGGCATCTGCTTTCTCAACTTAAGCCTCAGTTGCCCTCACTTCCTAACACCGCAAGGGCAGGGTCCCGACGTGGGACTGGATGGAACCAGGGCAAACCGGTAAGTTATGTGCTACCCTGTCATCGTGATGGGCCAGGCCAAGGTGCCACGATTCTTAACTACAGGTTTGATCATAGGCAAATGCTGTCATGATCTAAAAGTAACGATGAGACTAGGACCCTGCTGCTAGGGGTAGGAAAGACATCTGGCCTGAGCACTGCAGTCTGAGATTGAGATGGCCCTGGGAGAGCAATTCTATAAGCTTAAAGTATTTCTTACTGTGTCCATACAAAATGATTTATATTAGGTATGCTTATATGTTGGTCGGACAAGGAGAGGAGAAACACATCCAGGGAAATCTGTTCTTGGGTGGGTTGATCTGCTAAATGAGAATCTGTCCTAGAAGCAGTTTTCCTGGGTGTCCTGACTAGCTCAGATGAGACTGAACCTTTCTCCCCTTCAAACTGCCTTCAGTAAATGATTTCAGTATACTGACTCAGTTTCCCTTATCTCACAGGAACCTAGCTGGTCTTAGGTATGCAGATCCCAGGTGCTAAACCAGGCCTGATCTTGGAGATGTAGATGCCTGGCTCCAGGCAGGCTGATCTTGGAGATGTAGATTCTAAACTCTAGCAGACTGGTCTTTGATGTGCTAATCCAAGTGCTTATAGCTTGTAAAAGGTGAGGCCAGGATGTAAAGAAACAATATGGATGTAAAGAAACAATGTATGGTTTGCCAGGGATGTAAAGAAACAAGGTGGATGTAAAGAAACAATGTATGGTTTGCCACCTCAATGTTTTTTCTGTAACTCCTTTTGATGACATCACTATATTGAGCCCTTTAGAGGTACTATGATCTATATAAGGGAGATTTCAGGGCTCTCTGGGGGGACAGGTGCGTGCATTTGAGAACCTGGGAAGATGGGGCTGAGGACAAAAGCTGACAGAACAAAGGAGCACGTGCTTGAGGACTCCTGAGGTTTCCATGACATACATTTCTTGCATGTAATAAACTACTGCTAAGACCAACCAGCTTAGCCCTCGTTTCATTCCTTCACCTGACCATCGCCATCGACCTCCCTGGAGTGGGGAAACGGCCTGAGACTACCGAAAGCTGGCGGCGGGAGAGAGAGGCCATTGCCGTCCCCCTTGCCCGCCCCTTTTTTGTGTGTTTACACAATTATGAACAAAAGTATGAGTGTAAAAATTTTTAAAAATAAATTGCCTGGTTTTTACAACAAATACATTGAAAATAACATTATGGATTGAGGATTGTAAGTTTTACAAACAGATCTAAGCTGAAAATGCAGCTCAATGCTAAGTTTCTTGCCTTGAATGTGAGGCCTTGTGTTTGATCCCCATCACCACCTGCTACATACAAACCGATGCAAGAATCATATGATTTTTGAGATAAATCACAATAAAAGATCATTAGCTAAATGCCATCATACCAATCAAAATTTGTGGATTATGGCTAAAGAAAAACAAGAGAATATTTTTGACTTAAATACATTTAAATATTAAACAGCTTATACTTGAGGATAGTTGTATGCTTTTCACATAAAAAATTGTTTAAAAATACCATACATTATGAAAAAGTAGGAGTCATTCAGGGGAAGCAAAGATAGCTGACACTGCTAAGGATAAATTTGTAGTATATTTCAAAAATATTAAAAAGAAATAACTGTCACACAGTAAATCCTCATAAATCAGATATTTCAAATGTCAAGTAAGTAATATGCTTCTGTACAATGGACTTTATTAATAATATATATGTATATATATTGCTTTTTGGGTCACATGGCAATGCGCAGGGGTTATTTCTGGCTTGCACTCAGGAATTACTCCTGGCTGTGCTCAGGGGACCATATGGGATGCTGGAAATCGAACCCGGGTCGGCTGTGTGCAAGGCAAACTCCCTACCCCACTGTATTATCACTCCAGCCTCAACTTTATTAATAATATTAACATCTAGTAATAGTGAACGTGTTTATGATGCTTAATGGTTACTATTTTTTCATGTTATATTCTTTTCTCAGAAAAGTTCTGTGAACTAGGTATTATAAACTCCCATTCTTAGCTTTTTTAATAAGTTGTGATATAAAGAAATGGGAGTATTACTCTATTTATACATATGAGAAACTAGGAGACCAAAGAGTTTGAATAACTAGCACCACAGCACACAGGCATTAAAAATGCTAGAATTGGGGTCACAGAAATAGCTCAAAGAGTTGGAGAGCATGAACGAGGCCCATGTTCATTCCTGGCCACCAGATGTAGTTTCCTGAACACTCAAAGAGAAATAAACTCTGGATGAATCCCATGAGTATTGCTGGGTATAGCCCCCAAAGCAAAACAAAAGAAAAAGATAAATTGAAGCTAATATTCATTTAAAGATGACCTATAATAACTCTGATTCTTTTTTAAGAATTATTACTATTTCAAAATAGAATTCACTAATAAATGTAGGTATATAATTAAATCTAATTGAGAAGTAGATGTAAAATTCACATGGTGCCACATTATAAATAAAATAAATATATTTTATTCCATGTAGTGAGTTTTGGTAAAGCAATACCAATTACTGAGACTTTCTTTATTCTAGTTAATCCCTAAGTCTTCTCTTAAAACTTTAGATTAGGGATCCTCCAAGTAGGAGTTAAATATCAACAAGAACTAAAACTTACTTAGCAACACCGATAATTTGGTCTCCTGTTTTCTGAACAGAGGTCATAAATAACTGCATGTAAAATTCAGCATGTGTTGGTTCTGAAGAGACAGTACCATGGGTATGGTCCTTGCCTTGCATGTGGCCAACAACTGGGTTTGACCCCTGTCATTCCATATGGTCCCCGAAGCACCACCAGGACTGATTCCTGAGTGCAGAGCCAGGAGAAATAACCCCTGAGCATCCCTGAGTGTGTTTCACCACAATAAATTAAATGTCTTTGGATGAGACGTTTATAGCATTATATGAGGGGCATTTATAGCACTTGGATTTACCTTGCAAATTCTGACATAGTAAAAAGAGATTTTCCTATTCTAATTATTTTATGGTTATGTTCACAAAGTTTAATATTCTCAATAAATCCCATACTATGATGTCTGAAAGAAATATTAGAAATCAATACATGTACTATTTTGAAACAAAGCTAGGAAAAATATAGACTTTGATTTGGGCTAAAAACACAACTACAAAATTAGGAGCAAAAGCCAATTACAACTGACAGGTATGAACTGCCACTGTTTCCTTGGACTGGTAGAGCAATGAAATTAATATCAGACCACTAGTAAAAAGGAACAAAATTAATTACATATGCATCAAAAATCTACACGGACATAAATTCTAGAGTAAATGGGCAAAGCAAAGTCACTCATGTTGAACTGAAGAACGGGATAGTGCCTGAGGCAATGGGAAGAGAAAAGGGGACTCTCAAGGCAAAAGAAACAGGAGCTCTATAGTTACTTGTTTCCTCTGCCAGATGGGAACATTTTTCCAATAAAAGGTTATTTCTAGAAATAACTCTGCAACTGGATACTATCATTGTTTTATTGTTCTGGGTAATTAAAGTCGCCTAGTCAAGTTACTCTTGAACCTGCAAGGCCTCAAGTAAACTTGGTTCAAAACAATCCAAATGTCTGTGCTGGATAGATAAATAGTACAGTGGGTAAGGCACATGTTTTGTGTGAAGCCTGCATTGCATATGGTCCCCAGCAGTATCAGGGGAGATCCCCGAGATCCCTGAGTAAGCCCTGTGCACAGCCATGTGTGACCCACAAAAAAATAATAACGATGATAATAATAATAATAATAATAATAATAATAATTCACATCAAAATTAAATAGCTGGAGAAAGCCTATTATGTAGAGCTTGAGGTGGTCTATCCTTCCTCACTTCTTTCAAACTCTTAATTATTATGGAAATAATCAGTGAGGTCTAGACAGAGCCAACTCCCCCATCAGCCTATCCAATTAGTTTTGAATGTAAGTGCAGACTGAGAATTAAATGTCTATCTTTTATTTATTTATTTATTTTATTAGTGAAACACCATGAGGTACAGTTATAGACTTACAAATTTTTATGCTTAGGTTTCAGTTATACAATGATCAAGTACCCATCCCTCCACCAGCTTCTATTTATTTTAGACGTAAAAAACTGTTGGAGAGAGAGTTCAATAGGCTGACTGCATATTTTGTGCTCAGGAGGTCAGGGTTCAATCAGGTGCTGTAAAGTCTCCCAAGCACTGCAGGCAATGACCTTCAAGTACAGGTCAAGGACTAGGCCCTGAGTATGGCTGGATGTACCCCCATAAGAAATAAATGAATAAATTTCATAAGAATTTTCAACTCCTTTGCGTAAGTTATTCTTTGTGGTAAGCACCAATAAAAATCACACTATTACTTATGTAGGTTTAATTATTCAAACTGAGAGCTACATTATGCAAAAAGAAAAATGAAAGTAGTAAAGAAAGATTCCAGTAATACAATTTGTATAGCTTGTTAGTTCTTTTTTTTGAGGTGACAATTATTACAGTAATTATCTGAGCCTATCCTTCTTTAATAGCAAAAAATAACTTTCAGATTTTATTATTATTGGATATTTTTAATAAAGTTGTTCTCTATGAAAATAATAAATTCCTATTATAAAATTCTACAATAACAAAGGAAGATAAAAGTCACCCTAAGCCTTATCACCCAAAGGTAACCACTATTAAAGTTTTTTATGGTATTAAATATTCTGTATTAAATATATACTCTAAAGACTCAGTTTAGCTGAAGCATTGTCTGTGTTATAAAAAAAATTCATAAATATATTTATGGCTACTGTCTTTTTTTTTTCTAGTTTTAGGCCCACACCTGGTAATGAATGTTAAAAGGTTACTCCTGACTGTGCATTCAGGAATAACTACTGAAGGTGGTCTGGGGACCATATGGGATTCCAGAGATTAAACCAGGGTCAGCTGCGTGCAAGGCAAACACCCTATGCAATATACTATTGCTGGGCCCATCATGACTACAATATTTTCCATAATGAATACTGCCTAATTATTCTGAATATTTTTCAACAGAAATTAACAGATCCTTACCTGGAACCAACAACTATGATCATTTGTACCCAATAACTATCCTAGCAAAATCTAATTTTATTGTCTCAGTCAGAAAAGTGTTATACATTATAAAAATGATATTTCTAATGTTAAAATGAAATATTAAGAAACCAAAAGGGAACTTTAGATAATGTTTTTAGGAAATAAAATCCAACACATTTTAAATTTAAAATCTCTCACAGATGTACTCATTAGTAATGTTAAGAAAATGGGTAAACAAGATTACTTTCAATTTACTCACTACAAATAGAGATTTCATGATACACTTTGTTTCTACCGATTCATGTCTTACCTTGTAAAGATGACTTATTGAAGGCAGTAACAGAAGTGGCTACAGAAGGAGGGGGTAAAAGAGGGTAAATTGACTGTAAAAGATGATGTCTGTTCAAGTAAAAAAAATCACTGAGTTTAAAGAAGCCTATGGAATATAAAACTACAATTTTGGGATTAAGGTCTGATATTATCTATACAAGAATGTATATTGTCTTCTTAGTAAAAGTTTATTTCTCCTAGTGGAAATGATTTATGCTGACTAAATAAGCTTGTATTTCTCTATTAAACATCATATATGATGACAGCAACTAACATCTTCACATTCTAATTTTTAAACACTAAGTTATTTCCATAGATTAATACTGCAAGCCATTTCTAGTTTTAAAAATTGGGAAAAGTTAACTCATTTTATGAGGGCTGATTTGGGGGACTGAATTAGGAAAAATTTTCCCAAAAAACTCCAGACTTGAATGATAATTAAGACAGCCAACTTCATGGGATGTAATCTGTAATTCACACTTGATCGGACAGTGATTTGACATGTGAATTTTTTATTTTATGTTTGAACCTCCAATAAAATAAAAATAAATTAAATTATACCAAAATATTTATTATTATTTGGAAAAGTATATAATGGGGATAACGTTTAAGAAAAACAAGTTTTTATTTTAATTTCTATAACTGAAATCCACTTAAATTTTATTACATTTTGTTTTTCATATACCACCCAATGACATATATTAACCTCCATCAGTAGAATCCATTAATTTATCATTACAAATTTTAGAATACCTATAAGCACAATACATACACAGATAAAAAAATGAACATCCTATCGATTTAAAAAGTAAAACGTCTTACCTCTGTTGACATCCATTGCATATAATTCTCTTAGTCCCAGTTCATTAAGAGATTTTGTTAAATCAAGGGGATCCTGAGATTGATAATCCTTCAACAGCAGTGTATGTAATGGATCAAATTCACATTTGCTACATATAATGGGTACAAGTTCTTGAAGCGATGCATGCGGGCTAACTCTCACAATCGCCTTCTGTGTTTTCTTAAAATTGATCACGACTCTCACAGTTTTCTAAAACAGATTAAAATCATAGTTATACAATTATTTTATAAATATATTTCTATAATAATGTCTACAATCATGAAATTATCCATAGTTATTTGGACATACAAAAATAGCATATTTCTATCCTGGTAATTATTTTCTTTGAAATTCTTTTCTAAATTCAAAGCAGATTTTTAGAAACAGTTTGTTCCTTAAAAAACTTATTAAAGTCACAACTCTTCTCAAGAGTTGCATCTCAAGCAGCTTAAAATGCAAAAAAAAAAAAAGCCTTATTTTTATTTTAGGATTTTGGGCCACATCTAGCAGTATACACCTGGCACTCATGGGATGTAACAGTAACTCACATAGTTCCTGTGATCGAAACTGGTCCGCTGTGAGCAAGGCAAATTCCTGACACACTACCCCCACCGTACTATTGCTTAGACCTCAAACATAAAAGTCCTATATGCAGTGTTACGGATGCTGTTTTTTTTACCCCTTAAAATATTTACATGAAAATAATCAAACATAAAATCAGAGAATTGAACATACTTTATTCTACCCTTTAAATGTGGAATATTTATCTTCAACATATTTAAAGTTGCCTCAATAAAAAAGTTTTTTTGAGTACAGGATATAGGAGAGCTGGAACGCACTTTCTTTGCATGTAACATACCTGGGTTCGATCCCTAGCACTGAGTATAGTGCCCCCAACCACTTCTAGGAGGGATGCCTAGGACAGAGCCAGGAGTAAGCCCTGGACACCAGTGGTTGTGAGCCCAAAACATTCTTTTCTGACTGGAGAGCCTGGCATTCCCTATAGTCCCCTAAGTCAGCCAGGAATGATCCTTGAGCATTCCACGGTGTGGCCCACCCTTCCCGCCCCACACACACAAAAAATGAAGGATTACAAAGTAAAATACTAAATATTATTTATATTTCTATACTACAAACTCAGAATTAAGATTTTTTAGTTGATGTTTCTGGCATTATAGCTCACTTGAAAGAGTATGAAACCTTTTAATCATCTTATCGTTTTACTGTAACTTATTAAATCCTAAAATTAGAAACGTGATTATACACATGAAATATAGTTCATATATTTTTAGATTTTAAAATCTAAAGTAATCCCCAATATTAATTAATCCAAGGATTCATAACACCTAGTTCCTAAAAAAAAGAGCATAAGAAAAAGCCATGTTCACAGTCGATTATACTGGCAAAATTATTTTTTATTAATTAATCTACATATAATAACTAAAAAAACCTTAATATTTCAGCCACAAGACAACAAAATTAACAGTAAAATTCTTACCTCTGGAATAATAGGTGTAGGCTTTTTTTTATCCAAAACTTTTGGCTTTAAAATTACTTTCTCCACCTCCAACATTCCTATTGGTGTATTTGGCTTAAATTTAATAGTGTTATTTTCAGCTGACAAAAGATCAATTGTGTAACTTGATGGATTTAAGTGATACTGTGCACAGAGGAATATCAATAAGTCCATCATAGGTTTACTGTAAAACAAGAGTAAAGCTCATTATAAAGATTCATAAAAACAATGGCAAAGCATTTCTTGAAGCCCAACTGTCTTAAATGGATCAAAAACAAAACTGTCAAATAGCATTTCTGATAGTAGCTTTAAAATCTAACTATACAATATTTTAGCACAGAAGTACTGAATTAATTAAGGCTGTATTTAAGAGAGTATAATTCTAGTGTAGATATAAAAGTTAAATTTTATTTGTCTCGTAGTCTAGCTATAAATTTCAAGAGAAATCTGAATGAATTTTTTACTTAGAGTACTTCAACAAGTAAATCATTTTCTTACATAAGAATAGCCACTAAGTTTAGCCGATGTTCTTTCAGAATATTTAAGGAATGCTGGCATTTTGCCTACTTGTTTGATTTGTTTTCTTGACCACAAAGCAAGTACCCTACCCACTGTACTACCACTATGGCCACAGTATAGGCAGTCTTTAACCTTTGAATTGGGTTTTTCAATGTTATCAAAAGAATGAAATATAAGAACAAATTCCATTATTTAGAAAAAGAAGCGTGCATCTGCATGCGGTGGTCAGAAATGTCATAATGTGAAGTATAGATTTCTAATATTTTGAAACAATATTTAGTATTTTCTAGACACAGTACACAGAGTATAAATGATTAGTATACCTGCACTCATAAATCTAATACTCTACTAGATAACTCAAGTATCAACAAATCACAACCTACAGATCAAAGTGGGTCTGCTTTAAAAATATTACATACGCACACACACACACACTCACACACACACATATACAGTTTTGTTAGAACAGAGCTATTAGCATTTGATGATATAATATCAAGGACAGTTTTTGTGTTAAAGCAGCAAATTTGAGTTAAGACTGAGACTCTATCATTCAGAACTCTAATATGCTTACTATTCAGTCCTTGGCAGGGATTATATGCTAGATAATGAAACAAAGTAATCTCAGAAATGCAATATTTCTTTATTCTTTCAATGGGGTAAAGAGTTTGGCCATATCTCTCAGTGATTTGTAGCCACGTCAAGAATTGTGTTTGGCGGGGGTGGGGGGATGCTCCTGGCTATGCTCAGTACACTCAGAGGTGCTAGGGCTCCAAAGCCAGCACCCTGCTTACAAACTATGCATTGAGTCTGTTGGCCTCTCTCTTTCTGGCCCACATAAAGTAACTCCAGGTAGTGATTAAATTTCACATACTGACAGTAGCACAGAACCTATTTCTCTAAGAAATTATACACTCAATTTGTAATTTAGAGAAGCAAAAACGTCCCAGGTTTTTGGGATGTCTCTTTCCACTGATTCTACGTATAGCACAGAGTTGTATTTTTATTTATACCATCAACAAAGCAATGTGATCTGATCTTTTCTTCAATTTCAGTCCATGAGAAAAGCAGACTAAGAACATTTTGCTTTATGTCCTTTCCTCATGTCTTGTGATCCTAATCTACTAGTTCATATTTAAGATGGAAACCCTGAAATATTGTTGGGAAAGCTGTTTGGCAACAATGTGACCAGAAATTACAAAATGCACCAAGGAAAATGTTGGCCTAAAGCTCCATGACACTAACTTCAGAGGCATCTTCAATCATTTTACTTTATTAACAAAGAAAATAAAAGCAGAATTAAACTAATCAGAATAGATTACATCAAAGTAAACATTTCTTCACTTTGAAAGCAATGCAACTGAATTAAAAATAGATCCTAGGCCAAGGTGTCGCTCTTTGATAGTACATTTACTCTGCATGTGGAAGGCCACAACTTCTATTCGCAGTAGGCAATGCCAATAAATTTTTTTAATCCGGTAATAGTACAAAAAATTCAAATACTTCTTACTAAATGGAGAAAGTACTCACAGCCAATTTAATCTGACAAAGGGTTGATATTCAACATATAAAGCATTCACAAAACTCAAAAACAAACAGATAAACACATACTCAAAGTTTGATAACAAGTTTTGAGTATGAAATTGTATTCCTATAACATATATCGTCCTATAAACTAATACTGTCTAAATTAAAAGTAAACAAAAAGCACTCTAAAAAGAGTAGGGCCTATAGTCATAGAGTACCTTCATGACACTACAGCCAAAAAAAGAAAAAGAAAAAGACATTGTTATGTGATATGCTTATGAAATTTACCACAGTGACTCATAAATAAATCACTACAGTCCTGGTAACTTGTGCAATGGTTAATAGGTAAAGGTAAAGGTAAAGGCCCTCCCGTTGATCGTCGATTTGCTCGAGCGGGCCCAGTAACGTCTCCATTGGAGACTTTGTTGTTACTGTGTCTGGCATATCGAATACTCTCGGTAGCTTGCAGGGCTCTCCGAGAGGGGCGGAGGAATCGAACTCGGGTCGGCCATGTTGGCCGCTTGTAAGGCGAACGCCCTACCCGCTGTGCTATCGCTCCTGTATAGTAGTCAGAAAATAAGAATTAGAAAATAACATATAAAGTTGAACCAAAGGTTCAAGAACAGAAATCTCTATAATATCATAAAGTCATAAAGGAGGCTGAATCCCCATGAAAGGTAAAAGACAGTGCCGGAGAGTTGGCTCAGCAATAATTTTACCTTATTAACAAAGAAAAACAAAAGCAACATTAAAATAATCAGACTAGATTACGTCAAACTAAACTTTTTTTTTAACTGCAAAAGCAATGGCAACTGCATTAAAATTAGATCCTGGGCCAGAAGAGTTCGAGGATCAATCCTTGCACAGGTGGTTCCTGAGCACCACTGGTATGGTTCCAAAACAAAGAGCAGAACAGAAAGAAGCAGAAGATGAATTTGGACCAATGTTATCTACAAACTGAGGAGCAGAGTGACTTCAAGATGTTATCTACGTCTTTCCCGCCCCACCAAGGCGGAGAGTTGCCCCCCACGAGCAGCTCTCCAGTATGGCCATGGCCCCAGAGGCACATGGATCTAATTCTGGAGCCCAGCAGCTTTTGGCAGAAATGTGAATGGACTATGCATTAAGCTATGGGGCCGTGCCCCCTGGGAGGGAAAGGGTGTCAGTCTCTTCCGCCCCCCCCCACCCCCAGGCGGCATGGTGGCCACTGCCCCAGAGCTTATTGGACAGCCGGCCGTGACAGGGCAACTGCGGTCTCATGGGATGGGGGGGGGGGAGGTGTGGAACCGGCATGTCCTTCCTGCCCAGCCAATGCTGAGAGTTGCCCCCCACGAGTGGCTCTCCAGCACGGCCATGGCCCCAGAGGCACACAAACCAATCTCATAACTATGCAGCTTTTGGCAAGAAATTCCTCTAGATATAACTAGTAAAATATCAGAAATCCAAAATCATCATATGGTTATTCATAACCAGCAATAGAAAACAAATTATTTCACAATGCTTTTCAGCAGGTCTGACTGTTGGGGGAAAATTCCAAATAATAATGGTGCATGTTTTGTCGAAATAATGAATGTAATCAAAGTAGAGAGAGAGAGTTAAGTGGAAATCATCCGCTTCACAAGCATCGGGAGAGGTGGGATGGGGGAATATGGGAGTTCTTGGTGGTGGAAAATATGCACTGATGAAGGGATGGTTGTTTGATCATTGTATGACTGAGACTTAAACCTAAAAGCTTTTTAACTTTTCTCACAGTGATTCAATAAATAAATTAATTTTAAAAAAAGATGTTACCTAGCTATCTAATACCTAGATGTGAATTCCTCAATGGCATAACTTTTACCAATCTTCATTCCTAGGACTTAATCTAAGTTCAGGCACACAGTAAAGGCAATGGTGCTGAACAAAACATTTACAGGAATCAATGATCAATTAGACGATTCTGCTTAAATAGTCATGAGTTCAATCCCATGGCAGGCAACATAAAAGAGATCTCTGTGCTGACTCGAAATAGGAGAAGGCCAAGTAGTTGAATCCTATGTTAAAACAAACAAAACCGTTTTTCTCTTTTAACAAACCTGACTATCTAGCCTTGTCTAAAAGTCATGTCTGTCGTCCTTACAGAAAGGTGGGATATAAGCGCTACATAAGAAAGACCTTTTCCCAAAATAGTCTCAATGACCTAAGCCAGTTCACATGCCTGAAGTATTTAATTAAAGCTTCAGCAATTGGCACTAAAAGCACAAAGGAGATGACCCTGCCCTAGAGGATTTTGAAGGTGGGAATTACCGTCTGGCTCTACCTTGAAAGAGTGATCATACTACAAAAGTAGGACATTAACTTTTAAGTAAGCCCTGTACTGAATGGGCCTGCTGTCATGATTAGTCACAGAGTACACCTACAAAAAATGAAATCATCTCTTAAATATAGTTGTTTGGAATTATCTACCTGGATGCCAAAAGACCGGTACTAAATACAACAATTTTGGTTTGAGATAATTATTATGAACTGATGCGCTTAATAGCAGTCGGCTTATAGGTTTAACCACAAGATCACTACAGAAACTTCCCTTGTTTTCCTGTTTGCTAAGGCAGAAGCAGATGTTAACCATCTACCTGAAACCCAATTCACATTATTGAAAGTTGAAAGGAAGGGCCAGAGAGGTATCTCAATGGACTGAGTGCATATTTCACATGTCAATTGTCCAGGTTCAACTTCTGGAAAAATAGGGTCCCCTCAGCAGCTCCAGGAACTGAGCACAGACCTTGAAGTAGCACCTGTCCCCCACCCCTAGCTCTAGCTGGTATGATCCCCAAACAAAACAAAGCAAAAAAAAAGAAGAAAAAGAAAGAAAGATGATGATCATACTTTATCCTCAATTCTTTATCCAAAAATGAAATAATCTCTCCCTCTACTATACTACCACTTCTGATTTTGTATTTGTTTCATTACTTAAGAGTGTGGGCTGGAGCGATAGCACAGTGGGTAGGGCATTGCAGCCGACCAGGTTTGATTCCTCCGGCCCTCTTGGAGAGCCCGGCAAGAAACCGAGAGTATCTCGTCCATACTGCAATGCCTGGAAAGCTACATGTGACATATTCGATATGCCAAAAACTGTAACAACAAGTCTCACAATTTGTT